GTCTGCGGTTTTTGTCCTCGAATGAGGAGCCCTGGGCAGAGTCTCTCTCTCTCTGTGGGTATTTCCTGACCTTCAGGGTTTTTTACCAGCCTTAGCAAAGCAAAATCCATTTATTTTTTTTTCTGGCTGAGTTGATACAAAGGCTCAAATGAGGGAAGGATCCCCAAAGCCCCGGCGTTTGGCTGTGCTGCAAGCAAAGACCTCCAGGCAATGGCTTGCGGCTGTTTCACCTTTCTGGATGAGTGAATCCTTTATCCTCAGCAACAAGTATAAATTTTGCTGCTCCTCTCTCCTGCAGCACTTTATAGATAACCTTCAGCAGTAACTGTAGGAGTTGGTGGGTCTCGTACTGCTGCAGCAAAGCAGCTTCCCTGGGACTATCCTCCCCCAGACAGGCAAACGAGGGGTTGTCCAGACCCTGGACAACCCTGTCCCCACCCTCTCGGCTGTGCCATAGGGACAAGCAGGAACGTTCCCATTGCGGTGATTGTCCCAGTGGTACCAAGAAACCAGCTGGAAAGCTGGGTGAACATGGCATGGAAGCAGGGCTCCTGCGCTTGGATCTGGGTCTGCTCTTACCCACAAGCTGTTGGACTGAACCTGGTGCAGACCTGAAGGACTGGTGGCTGCTTGAGGAAAGAGAAGGATTTGTCTCTCTGCTTATTTTGGCTTTGGTCAGCTTTCCATTGGGCTCCCAGGAGAAAGGGGAAGGGCAACGCAGGTCCTCACACGTCCCTTCCCTGGGTTGGAGAGCAGTGTGCTGCTGGCAGCCTGGCGCTGGAGGATGCCGAAGTCTCCGGTGAGTACTGTGTGTGGAGCAAGTGCAGAAGGACGGAGTGGAGGAAACATGAGGATAATTTAAAAAATAGTAAGAAGAGAGAAACCTCCAGGGAGTGAAGTGAGGGTCGATCCTGCTTGGCCTGTGCTGGTGCTGCGGGGGTGGTAAGGAGTGGAGTGTTTCAGCGCAGGGAGGTGTTTCAGCATTTATTGGGGGTTGGAAACCCATCTTCAGAGCCGGTGTCAGTGCTTCGCCCAGGTGGGACGGCAGTGAGGTTGTTTGGGTGCTTTGCGTGATCATTTCTGCTTTAACTTGCTCTGCTTGGATTGTAGCTGTGACATTGTGTTTCCTTCTTCCTGTGCTTTGACTTGAAATAATTGTAGCAAATTACGTTGCTTGAGATATTTTTATTTTACTGTGAATCGCAGAAGCATGAATTGGTCCAGGTCTCTGTGCATCCTGGGCACTGGGGCTGCGGGTGTGGAGGCAGTGCCGGTTACGGGGATGTGCTTAGCACGAATGCGGGGATGGGAGACATAATGAGTTTTCTGTTCTCTGCATTTGGTGCGCTTTCGCTCCTGAGGCTGTGTTGCACATTGCTCCCGTGTGTGCATCGCAACTGTCTGGCCTTAAGGTCTCATTTGAAGTCTGCAGCCTCAGCAGGGGGTCTGACACCCCGTTCCTCCATGTGCACAGGCCGGAGGAGGAAGGTGGGATCCTGCCGCCCGCCCCACTGGCGTGGCAATGAAGGCAGCTTTGGGGCAGGCGGGGAACTGGTGAGGGGTGTTCAGCTCAGCTAACTCAGTCTTGGACGAGCAGCATCACGACTGGCGTGGTCTGACCCAGGTGCCTTCCTCTTTTTCCTGGGCTTCGAGGCATTTATGTAATTCTGCACAGTGATAAAAAAATGGGCCATGCTGCGTTCCTGCCTTCTCCCTCAAGCTGAGCACCCAGGCAGGGAACATTACTACAGCCTCAATAAATAAGCAGCGACAAGCAGAAAATACTGCCTCGGCAAGGGACGGAGCCTGTCTGTTGCCATGTGGTGCCGTCCCTGTGTTGGAGTGTTTTAATGATGGTCAGAATCCCCAGGCTGTGATCTGCGAGGAGGAGGGATTTTCAGGTTAAATGCTTCCTCCTGCTTGGCACAATTTTGGCAGCCTTTGTAAACAGATAAAATTATCTTTGGGAAGTATTACCGATGTCTACAAACAGAAAAATCCCAAATTTGGTTCATCCCCTTCAGTCCCACAGAGGTAATGGTGTTTTTTGACAGTGGTGACAGTTGCCTGGCTGGTGTCTGTGATGAGAACCAAGCTAGCGTGGTTGACTTCTGCTTCTGGTAGTTTTATAGAACATTATAATATACTATACATTGGCCATTAAAGACTGGATTCATTAGTGATCAGATCGCCAGATGCTATGGGGAGGTGGTTCCCATCCGTGTGGTGGAGCTCAGGCAGCTCGCCCAGCCCAGGAGAGGCTGCCGGGATGCTCGTGGGGCACCCAGATGCGCGCCTGGAGAGAGCCAGGGCCTTTTGAACTGGAAATAGGTGGCTCTGGCCAGGCTGAGCTGTGTAAATGCCACCACCATCCTGTGCCCAGCCTGTGTGCAGATTGCATGCCCGAGATCTGGGCTGTGTTTGGATCGGTGTCCGTGGGTGTGTGTGCTCCCGGGGTGTGCAGCGTTGTGGGACGAGGGCAGGGCCCCAGGGTGGATCTGCTGGACCAGCGTGTGGACCTTGCAGCTCTAGAGGAGCAGGTTTCCATCCCGATCAGAGGTGATGGCTGCAGACGCAGCCTTGGAAGGTGGAAGTCATATTGCTGGACAGTAGCTCTGGTGAAAGCTCATGCTGTATTTGATGGTGAAGGAGAGATGCGTGGGAGACTGTGAAAGCAGACGGATTCAAGCTTCTGCCCTGGAAAGCCTCAGGCTCTGAGCAGCAGTACCTCTCCTGGAGAGCATCCGCTGCACGGTACAGTGTGCTCTGTCCTTTGGATGCACCAGCTGAGGACAGGTACAAAGTCAATATTCAAAGCTCAGGGGGATGTGTATACGCTGCCAGTGACCCGCACAGTGCCTTTGTGTGCCCCAGGATGCAGGGCACCGTGGAAATCTTTGAAACAGAAAGTGGACCTTAGGGAGGCTTTGGTTACTTTCCTTACGGGTGGAAAAGTGGCTTAAATTTTCCTGCTAGATCTTTTGCAGTGGGCTTGTACAAGATGCCTGCAGTGTAAGCTCATGCCCATCGCTGTGGTTCCTCTGTGTGCCCTCCTGGGGATGGAGTCTTCAAATCCTGCATTTTCCCGTTCCTGTTCTCCTTCCCCTGCCCGTCTCCTCCACCTGTGCTGGAGACTTTCCTGGTGCTGCCTGTGTTTCCAAAATCCCGGTCCTGTCCCCAAGAGCGGGGCTGTTCCCACCCAGCCGTGCAGCTCAGTAGCTCCTCAGCCTTTCGGTGGGAGCCGGCTCTGTTCCCAGCACCTTGGCTGGCTGCTCGCCTTCCTTGGGAAGGCCTCGGTGGCTTCCTGTGGGTGCTGTGAATGCTGGCACTGGTGGATTATTTATTCCTTGAGCATCCTTGGTGGCCACAAGCCACACTTCACATCCTGGCTTTTAAATTGGAGGTTTGTGTGCTGTGGATGCTTGGGGCTGGGTTGCAGACAGACCAAATGGTTGCACTGGGAGATGCTGCCCTAGCACTTCATGAGCTGCTTGCACTTTGCTCTGTGCCCTGTTTCCCAGCAGGGCTTTAATTTTCTTCTCCTGTTGTCCTTGGGCAGCTGGGGTAAATCCCGCCGTGTAGGATAAGCCTTGTCCCTGGGCTATGCTTCTTTGTCCCATCACATCCTTTCTGCGTAGCTTCATAGCTATGAGACTTGGTGCAGCATCGCGCTCTGCTCCACTCCGGCTTGATGGTCCTTTTATATTATCCAGATTGCTCTGGCTCTTGCCTTAGAAACACTGCTTCGGTACTGTTAAATGAAGGTCACTCTTTCTCTCATTTTCCTTAACTGGCCCAAGAGCGGTGGAATCGATATGAGTGATGGCTGAACATCACTCAATATCTACAGCATTTCAGAAGGTCTTATAAATAAGCCAGGAACAAAAACCAAATGCCCACCTATCAGTGCTAAGTACGGGCTTTTCTCATTTTCCTTGCAGCACAGAAAGGTGATGTGCTGTGCCCCAGCTTTAACCAAGGCATCCCCGAGGTCCGTGCTTTGCGGCATCGCGCCATCTCTCAGCCTGGCTGGCTTGGAGGACGTCCTCATCCCTCCTGGCTCCCCCAGCCCTGGCAGAGAAGCTGCAGGCATGTTATGCCGGTCCCTGTCTCTTTTTAATCCAGAAACAGATGATTGAGGGAGGGGAAATGAAGGGGCTGCTCTGTGCTGTGCCTCCTTAGTGGTTTTTGGGTGCACCTGGAGAAACCTCGGCTAAACTCTGAACATAAGGATGGGGCGCAGATCCTGTGCAGGACCTGCCCTGCTCTCGCTTTTTGCATTTGCTTTGGGCAATGCTGCCTCTCGGAGCCGCTCACCTCCTCCGTCTTCCCCGGGGGAGCGGTGGGATGATCTGAAGAAATGCTGCATAATACTCGCTGCTTGGTTTCGGGTTGATTTTCTGGTTTTAAGTCACCCAAGTGTTCCGGAGTTGCAGGAATAACCATTTCTGCTGTACCTGAGATGCTGATCATGGAGTTTTCTGTGGTCTGAAGGTGTGATGATGGTTTTGGGTAAAGGCTGTTACTCTCCTCTGTGTCTTTGTGACCTTTCCCTTGGGTGAAACAGTTTATCCTGCCCAAAGCAGACCTTGCAGAGCCCACGTGAGGTTCGCGCCCAGTGCAGGGTGTGCTGATGCTGTGCCTGGCTCCCATAGCTGTGCATGGAAAGGGGAGGTTGGCGTGTGGCCCTTCCCCGGTGGCTCCAGCACACCGCTCCCCGTGCCACCCCACATCGCTCAGCCTTAGCAGCCCTGAACCAAATCCCGGTGACAGCCACAGGAGCCCTTCGGATGCCTCCTCAGGGCTCTGGGGGACGTCCCGCATTGCTCCTCCACACCACGCTCCGCTCCTGGGGGGCATGGTGGCCATGACCCCCAGCCCTGGCAGAGCTGCCTGCACGTCGGAGGAGGCAGGAGGTCCCCCTGCCCGCTGCGCCGGCGGGTTAGTACGGTCCGGGGGTAACCATGGAAACTATTTTTTCTCCATCCCTCCCTTTGCAGATGACTCGGGCGATGAGGAGCCCGCCTCACAGTCAGACAAGAGCGAGCTGCACAGCACGTTGAAAACCCTCTCGAGTAAGCTGGAGGATCTGAGCACTTGCAATGACCTGATCGCGAAGCACGGGGCGGCCCTGCAGCGCTCACTCAGCGAGCTGGAGAACCTGAAGCTGCCGGCCGAGAGCGGCGAGAAGATCAAGGCGGTGAATGAACGAGCCACGGTCTTTCGCCTCACATCCAATGGTGTGTTCGACCAAC